TTTGGCTTTTAAAATACCCTATTCAATTTGCCACTGCCAAAACCAAATGGAATTTTGTCATTTCCATATTGTTACAGACACTTCTGGTTTTTTCCCATGCAACTTGTTCGATTCCCATCTTTTCTATTTGCTCTTTAGTCCTTCTATACATTGTATTTTACCCTTTGCTCCTTTCATAAGCTACAAGCTCCCTTCACATCATTCATGTCATGTGATTTTACTTTTAAAGCTTGTCTCGTCCTTTGTTTTGAATATCATTGCGACGTGCGACGTCTAAATAAACGAGAGATAAATGAATGAATTGAGACTACGTTCAAATGAGAGTGATTTTAAGCGTGTTTAGCTTGAAACAATTCTATGTTAGATGACCTCCTAAGAAGTATATGAGTGAGGACGAAACATGCTAAAAGGAACTCGTCATAGTTTGTGTGAATAATTTTGCCATTTAATACTACATAACCTAGTCATTGTAACAGTCCAAACTCACCACTAGTAGATATTATCCGTTTTAGCTCGTTACGTATCACAGTCAATCTCACGATTTTAAAACGAGTTTGTTAGGGAGAGGTTTCCACACTTTCATATGAAATGATTTGTTCTCCTCTCCAACTCATGTAGGATTTTACCGTAGGGATGTAGGAGAATGTCTGCAGTATCAAGTTCTGAATCCTGATCCGAAACTTGGACGTGCAGTGGCTAGAAGAACGATACCCATTTCCCGAAATTATAAATTTGATAATCACATCACATTAGAAACTCATTAACATGTTGGATCAAGATAATTCTCACATAAATAGCATCATTTAAAGGAGCTATTCATCACCAACCATGTTACATGAACACTCAAAACACTTTTATTGAAGTCCAATCAAGTTAGATTACATTCAATAATTGGTCTTTGGAAGACATGGAGCTGAAACTTCAAGCATTGTCGGAGCTAAAACACATTATTGGATTCACTAACGAAAATGACAATAAGATTGAAAAGAAAAGATATGAAAATGATCTTTTAGAGATTAAAAAGAATCCAGTTCATGATCCTTCAATCACACATCAATTTAAATTTTAAGTATTGGTAACAAATTTTGGTTAAGTTGAAGCTAAGCTCGTTCATATGCTTCGTCTGAGTTGAAGTCATAATAGGAGCTTGCAGCTGTGAGTTTCATAGAAAGAAACTGCAAAAGATACAGGACAACAAAACAAGATCATTAAACAACATTGGTTTATGATGTTTTTCATCTCAAAGTTTGGAGCTTTACCTCAACTTGATTCTGCAAAGACTGCACATAATTAATTATCTCATCCAACATCACTGCCATTCCCATTGTCTGCACAAAACGATGTATTTGAGAAAACTTGTCATTGTTTTATTCAAACAGCCTCTGTTTTCATTACCTTGTAACATCCTGGGACAATGTCTTGCAAACATCTCAATCTTTCGTTGATTTTGCCTCTTCTTATCTGTTTTTGGGAATAATAATGAGAAACAGAGAAGAAAAGAACATAAACTTTCTGCAAATTAGTTTACCCTTTCAGCTATACTGTGGCTGTCCGTTGCTTGACCTCTTTTGGCTCTAACATGAGCCACTTCCCTGTCTTTTTCCGGCTGCTTTCCTCTTCCAGAGCTCTGCAGGCAAGAAAATGGGAACAAACCCATTAAAGTTATGAAATTTGAGAGTAAAATCCAAAGGGGTTTTGTACGTTTTTAGTGTTGATCGCAGTTTCAGAACGCTGAGGAGATGAATTGCCAGAACTGCTTGCAGAAGCGTCAGTTTCAAGCTTTCTTTTCTTGCGCTCAAAAACAGGGGAAGCGAGCTGATTGGCTGGAGAGAAAATTTCTGGGAGATTTTCTCGACGGTTTTCCAGGAATCTGGGAGGAGCAGCGTGGTCGGAAAAGAAACTGTCATTGAACAAAACAGGAATGTTGGAATCCGCTTCCATTAGAGGAAAAGGTGATGGCTTTAAGCTCTGAAAGTTTGGAGTGAACTCAGCAGCCATGGAATGGTTGAAAAACCCAGGTTTGTTTTTGGATAATGAAGCTGTGAAGCTGATATTATAGTGTATAATTGGTTTTCATACTCAAATTTAAAGTCTTTGTAATAAAACAATGAAAATTAAGGGTCTGTCTTGTTGGTCATATGGTCAGTGGTCAAGCTTTTCCCTTCATAAAAATGGACCCCATGTTTCAGGAGCCATATCCAATAATGATAACTTTTTTTTTTTTTATTCTTTTTTTTCTCCGAACTAAACATTTCTTATAAAGATGCTTAAACCTCTCTCGGTAACAGATGCGTTTTAAAAATCGTAAGACGGACGGCTACACATAACAAACAAAAACTAACCATAAGTGCTGGTAGTGGGCTTGAATTGTTACATTATTTTTTTATCAAGTCAATCCTTCCACAATAACATTACTATGAAGTTGAACTTTTGAAACTCGAGCGATTCGAACGGTTCACATTTACAAGAAAATGATAGGAAGTATAGTGTTATAGGTTAGCTATCCTTTTCAGAGGGTATAAATCACTATTTTGTAGTGCCCTCTTTGCGTTTGTGCATATGTGAAATGAACCTGCCGGACATTGATGATAACCAAAGTGGAGCATTTGGAAATGTTAATGTATCGGATCTCCTTACTTTACAACATGTTTTTTTGTTAGCTTATCATTTTTGTCTCTAAAGTAATGGGAGAAGTATCAACATCTTCATTAAAAAGTTTTAGCTTCATTCATTGTTATAACAAAGTGTTAATAGCATCTTAACTACAAAAAAATCTAAACTTATCATCTATTAACAACAAAAAAATGAAGCTAATCATCGATCCATATCGGAGAGCGCGACGTGGAAAAAAGAAACAAATCTAAACTTGTCGTTCTTTACTATTTGAACTAATTTTTGTTACCTTTGTTTTATGGAAGGAAACACTGCTTCAAAATGGTTACCGGTGTTTTAAATGTAATGAGCCAAAGCGAAGAATATTTATTAGCGTGAGCTTGAACTGTTACAAACGGTATTAGAGCCAGACACTGGGTAGTGTGACAGTAAGGAAGCTGGCATACCATCAGATTTTGGTTGGTTAAGGAGAAAACGTGTTGGCATACCATTTATGGACGTGCTAGGCTATGCCTTGATAGCAAAGGCAACTAGCAGAGCCGATGCGAGGATCGGTGGGATGCCGTAGCTTTAAGAGAGAGGGAGTCTAAACTACCACACTACTACTATACCACGGGAACTCCACGAGTGTATTAGTTGATTGACTAGACTGAGACTTTGATATCAATCACTTTGATAAGTCATTGAGAGAGAGGAACGAAACATTTTTTATAAGGGTGTGGAAATCTCTCCCCACCAGACACATTTTAAAATTATGAGGCTGACGATAATATATAACGAGTCAAAGCAGACAATATCTACGAGTGGGAGCGGAAAGAGGAGTAATTTGGGAGAAGGGGGGAGGTGAGTTATGGCTATGAGTGCCCACCACCACCAGAAATGGCTACCCTTTACAGTAAAGTAATTGAATGAAATGGTGAAAATGTATTTAAGGTAGATTCGAAGGCTACTCAAGGCTAAGGCTAAGGCTAAGGCTACGCTGCTGCTTCAGCCGTATCTGATTTGGTCAAACACAGTATTGATTTCTGAACTGTCAAGAAAAATCCACGATGTTCAAGTTAATTATCCACGATTTTTGGGTAGTTTCATTAATTATTAGCTTTTGTTCGTTTAGTTTAGTTAGCTATTGTCACAACGGATGTATAACCTCTAGACATATATTGGCTGCAATATGGAAGTATACTCGAAGGATGCTGAAAATGGCGCCACCCCACAAGCAAACACGAATTAGAACAGTTCATACATACCCCGCTTTGTAGTGAAAGAAAATGGTGTGGAAATTTTGAAGAAACTTAAAGCAGTCACAGCTGAAAGTAGACGTGTGGTATTTTCCCGACGTAAATCGATCGTTGCCCTTAACAATGGCAAAACCCTATCTAGAACATATGCATTTTTCAAACGGAGAAATAATATATATAACGTCTTAAAGTGTTCAGATAGCTAGGATTAGGAAACCATTTTTCCATCCCACGAAATTTTCTATATTTTATATATTAACAAAATGGGACGGTGTCGGAAATTCTCCCCCCCTTTACTATGTTTAAACGAAATTCTCTAAGGTTGATGTCGAGGCTCGTAGGTTAAATAGACATTGCTCGTGTGTATATTATATATAATTAATATCGACAAAAATAGCGAAGTATTTTAGCAGATTATTCGATGTTGTTGGACGTGTCGAAGTTGCCTAGTACTTCTGCAGCAGAGATGGTGAGGAATAATTCGTTTGGTTTTGAAGCTCCGATGACGGCGGCGCTACCACCGTCGACGACTCCTCTGCAAATCAGTGGGATGAACGGTGGAGATTTGATTGGGAGTTCGTGTAATTCTTCTGCTTCCTCTCCTTCACAAGTAACTCAAATTTCTGGTAACCCAAATTACGATAGCTATTGGCACGACAGCCATGGCGGCGGAGAGATGGTGAACTTGGCCACGACGGCGGCGATTACTGAGGAACCCGATTATCCAGTTTCTCATTGCCACGTGGCTGAAAGTAATTGGTTGGACAGCGATCATACCGGTTACATGTCCAACATGGATGAATTATGGCAATTTTACGAAGATTTTTATTAGAAATGGTGTGTGATTGGCTATATTAATCTTGGTGTAAAATGTGAGTAAATATACATAAAAATAATTAAAAAAGAAAAATAATATTCTTGAAAGAAGGGCCAGCTTGATCTAGGACAAATTGGGCCTGGTCGGAAGACTTTCCGTAATGAGTCCAATGACAAAAGCCCTATATTGGGCCTGCACTGAGAGACTTTGTATCGAGCCCAATCCACTTTAAATTGGGCTTATTTGGGCCCAATCCAACTACGAACATGTTGTCTCAACCGTCCATTGAATAAGAACAATCTCAGCCTCTGCTTTCTTAGGTTTATAAACAACTCTTCTGCATGAAACCCTAGTCTCCATCGGCTTAAGATTACATTTTCATCCACTGGTAGCCGATCGCAGCCTTCCAGCGCCGTCGAGTATGCTTCTCTAACTACAATATTTCCCCATTTTTTCTTTGCGAGTTGTCTTCGTTGCTCTGTTTTCGTATCATTCTAGGAAAATTTTAAGTTCTGTGCACTTTCTTTACTCTGCCAATCGTCTCAGGTTAGTAATTGTTTAGTACAGTTGCCCTGTTGGACGTAGTAGAAGGTTGATACATTACCGATTAGCATCGTCTTTGTGAATTGTTCTTGTTTCTCTGATTGATTCCTTGAACTTCTAGACAGTTGGATTGTAGACTTTTTGTAATGTAACGCCTTCGAAGAAAATCTGTGTTGTTCTTCCGTATTTTAATTCTTTAATCTTATGAGTTCTCTGAGACGAGGTTTTTTCCTTCGTCTTTTCAACTAGATTTCTCAAGATGTTTACGGCCCTGAAAAAGATCCACAAGGACAAGGATGTTGAACCTTCCGAGTTCGAAGAGACTGTTGCGCAGGTTGTTTTAATAGAGAACATAAATCTGGATGTTTTTTTCACTGGTCAACGTTATTGTACCTCCCTCTCCATTGGCCCTTCTCATGATTGCATGTCTATGCAGGCACTCTTTGATTTGGAAAACACCAATTCGGAGCTGAAAAGTGACCTGAAGGATCTGTACATTAATTCAGCGCTGTGAGGGTCATTAGTCGATTTATGTAATATGTTTACCATATTAATTGGTTTTGATGTTTCTCATTATGCGATTGTTTTGTGTCTCGTGATTGCAGTCAAGTTGATGTTTCTGGAAACAGGAAGGCCGTTGTTATCTATGTTCCTTTTAGATTGAGGAAGGCATTCCGCAAGATTCAGTTGAGGCTTGTTCGTGAGTTAGAGAAGAAGTTCAGTGGAAAGGTAATTGAAGGTCCATTATTTTTTGTCCTTATCATCACATCTTGCTTTACATCATGACTGAAAAGGAATATGAATTTGTTGACAGTCAGTTTAGACATTGACAATTAGAAAGATTCTATATCTTTTTCTATTATGTTGTCTCGTTTATGGATGAATGGATGAAGTCTAAGGTCTTAAGTTTTCATGCAATAATTTCCCATGTGGTCCTATGTTAGGACGTGATTCTGATTGCTAACCGAAGAATCTTGAGACCTCCAAAGAAGGGCTCAGCAGCCCAAAGGCCTCGCACTCGTACTCTTACCTCTGTGCATGAAGCAATGCTAGAAGATATTGTTTTGCCTGCCGAGATTGTTGGGAAACGAACCAGATACAGAGTTGATGGATCAAAAATCATGAAGGTAAGTGCATAGCTTAGAACATCGTGTTTTTTTCATTTTCATCTATGCAGTCAGTATGAAATTGGAAAGGTGTATTTCATCAATATTTGGAAAATCGTATATATTTTTCACCGTAGGTTTTAGAATAAAGTTTTGTTACTGATTCTGGTCAATTCAGCAACAAAAATGTATTAGATAGATTGCATGTTCATATATTAATCCTATCTTTTGCTTCTACTGCTTAGAGGATAATCCTATCTTTTGCTTCTACTGCTTAGAGGATAATCCTATCTTTTGCTTCTACTTCTTAGAGGATAAGTTGACTTCACTTGGCTTGTGAACTAAATTGATGCCAAACTGAATTAAGAACCAATGTACGTTTAATTAAATACACTATGCTGCACGAAAATTTAGAGTTGGGCTATCTTTTATTATAATAACTGTAAGTTTCAAATGTTATCACCATACATAAGATTGCAAGAAGTGTACTTTAGAGCCTGGTTCATGGTCTTATTGGTACAAATTTTGTTTTTGATCGAATGCCAACTGAGAAGGCGAATCCTTGTTTGGAAATGTATTGTTATGCTCCCAGTACAGATTTTTACTCCTGGTTCTTGTGAATGCAGGTTTTCTTGGACCCTAAGGAGCGGAACAACACGGAGTACAAGTTGGAGAGTTTCTCTGCAGTTTACAGGAAGCTGTCTGGCAAAGATGTTGCCTTTGAGTTCCCAATAGTCGAGGCATAAGATCCTTATCGATTGTGACACCGTTTAGATGCATTTAGTTTTGAATCCATTCAAATTTTTGATGTTGAGAACTAGAATCTGTTTTTATTTATATGGTTTTTAATTTGCGGAAGCGAATTGTTTATGGTGGTTTTAGTCTGGTAGGGTATGAATGTCTCTATATTTATGACTTGTTATGTTTAGTGCTAAATTAGCTGAGCCATTTTTCAACTAACCGTGCAGTTAAAGAGGCATTTTCTTTTACTAACTAGAAAATACCGTCGCTAGATAACCCTATATGATTTAGATCTCTCCACGAGGGCGTAGGAGGAAAAAAAAAAACCTTGAAAAGAAATTATGACTTTCCTACTGTCAAATTAACTTTGCTTTATAGATTGAAGGTAGTTTTTTATTCCTTAAATAATTTAGAATAATTTTAAATAATTTATATGACATTATATTTAGATAATTGGTGAAAATTGAGAAAGAAAAACAATAATTTTAGAAAAAGAATTAAAATTTCTACAAATTTATACAAATTTTGACTATTAAGATTTTTCTCGATGACTTTGTTTAATGGCCATCGAAAAAACTGAAACTTCCAATGATTCATATATATATATATATAATATGATATTTTAATCGCAGTCGGCATGAGATTAATTTAACTATTTAAGATTTTTGTGAACTATTTATTTTATTATTAAAGTACGCCATTTCAAAAAATAGGAGGGATAAACGAATTAGATTTAAAGGAAGACTTCAAAACCAATATTTTCTTTTAAATTTAAAACGATTTAATTAGTAATTACATCAAAAGAAAAGATAAAAAAAAAAAAAAACGGAAACTAATTGCCAACGTTTCTTGGTTGCTGCAACCGGAGGCAAAACACCCCTTTCGTTTTCACATTTCCGAAACTACCCTCACAATAAACCTGAAATAACATTCTTCCTTTGTTGACGACCGTACCCGCCATTGAAGATGGCCACAGGTCTTTGCTCTGCAGCTTACTGGTCGGAGTATTGATCTAGGTTATCAGATCACGGGAAATGGTTATTTTTCTCCCGAAACCAAACCGCAGTTGACAAGAGTTCTCTTCAAAGGGAAACAGAATGAGATCTTCTTCGGAAAGAATCAACATCGCCGCCTGTACCCGCCGGCTCAACGTTGACAACCGATTTCCTCTTCGTTATTACTACCGAATCGCCGATAATATTTTGAAACAGGTAACTCTGCCCCTTGAGTTTCGTTTTTTTTTTTTAAATTTTGCACACCATCACAAAATTGGGATTGTTTTGACGAGCGTTTAATTTCGGAGGGCTTTTAATTGAATATCTTTTCTGTGTCGAATTTAGTTGAGAAATGGAACAAGGCTGTTTGAATTATTATATTTTTTTTGTAAAGTACTTTCTCAATAGCATACCGAAGTGCTTCGGAAGCAATTAATAGACTGGCCGTCAATGAATATAACAATGTTGTTCGGAGTCGATATGCAAAAAAACGATGATACATGTGGGCAATTTCATGGCTTTGTTGAGGGCTGTGTAGTGTATTGGATGAGTCGCTAAGTAGCTTGAAGTATGGCGTGCAAAGTTTTGTAACTTTTGTTTGACAAGAAAGCATATTTGTTTTAAGTTAGAGATGGGTGCTTAGCTAGGGGAGCTGGTTTGCTTTTAAGTTGTATGCCGCCACGAATAGAGTATGGAGCTGGTTTGACTACATATTCTTGTTCTTTTGTCCAAGTAATTCACTGCCTAACCCAATTTTTACATTGCAGGCTGACATCTTTCGAGCAGAGAAGAACATAATTGATCTTTATGTCATGTTAATGAGATTTTCGAGGTAAAGAAAACAAAAAATTAATGTTGTCGAGTTCTCATGAAATTATAATTTAGTCGTTAAGGGAACTCGTGTAACTGACATGTTGATATGTTTTAAAGAAGATTTACAGAATTGATTTAGCCAGTATGCTAGAGTTGGTTTGTAACTAGCTACTTTAGTTATTATTGTAGTCAGCTAGTAGTCTGCATGTACCTGACCTACATTTCAGTTCAAGAAATGAGAGATTGGTTTCTCTTCATTATTTGTCTTCCTCTTTTCTTTTGTTTTTTTAAGGGTATGTAGTTTGTGCTATACATAAAATTTTACGGAACCTAGCTTTCTTTAACTGCGCTTCCGATTAGATTATGTTAGGTGTTCCATTCAGTATCAAGAATAACTCTAAATTATGTTTGTATTTTTTCATGCACCAGTTTGATCACTGAGACAATACCTCGTCATTGGGAGTATGGAACAACTCTTAAATCCCAAAAAAATTATTTTAGAAAGGTAAATTCTGCCTTCCGTGTAAACTACAAGTACTGCATTTGTGTTGGTGCATTACATCAACTTAGTTTGTATATGCAGAGGCTATTGGATGCTTTGAGCGAGCTTGAAGAATTGAAGCCAGCAGTTCAGAGAAAGGTCGATGAAATAAATGGAAAACAAAGATATCAAGTCAATGGGTGGGGTAATCAGCAACAAAATGGCTCATTGGGATGGCAGTCTGGTGGAAAGCAACATCTTACTGATAATGGTGCAGCTAAGGTATAGTCGTGTTGTTACCTAAATTTATATGTTCTTACAAGAATTAGACCATTGCCCTTTGTGGTAGCATATCGAAGAAATACTGCTATTTTATGTGCTGTCTTTTCTCTGACAGGCTGGTAGATCAGCTGCTAGAGAAATTACTCGGCAGGGTTCAGGGCCGCAACAATTTTCATATTCCAGGTTCATGGATAAGAAATTCTGCAGTTTGTGCATGTTTAGATGTTTTCAATTTTGTCTTCTAATTCTTCTATTTAACATTGAATAAGCTTTACATTTTGTAGCATCTTTTTATTTACTATTCATTTTTTTATTCACCCAAGTATTACAGAAATATTTATGTTTTTTTTGAATGCTACACGAATCTTGTTAATGAGTATGGTTGATGTCAATACTATACAATCTTTGTTTTCCTCATCTCTCATATTTGTATACTTGTAGATCTATCCATATTCCACTCCCAAAGGAGGAAACATTATCCCGTCATTCTATTTTGGGTCCCAATGGACTTCATGGCCAGTGGCAACCACCAATCGTTGACAAAGGGGTAAGTTCATACTAGAGATTTTTTGAGGGAGTTTCCTAATCAACATACTGATTGGTCTTGTCAATGTAGGTCCAATATCCACGCATTTTGGATCTATCTCCTGTTGAAATTCCAAGGTTTGTCTTATAATCATGTTTTTGAAAGGTCCAGCTTTTTGTTACCTGCAACTACATTAAATTGCTAAATGTGCTCAAGTCATTTCCTGTTAGGCCGATATGTACAATCAAGTTCTTACAGTTTCCAGTCTTGCCTCCATGCCTCTGGTTTCGAAAGATTTTATTATCATCATATTTTGTTTCATATGGAAAGGAATTTCCCTCTATTTATTTGTTACACTTTTTTCCTCCATGTTTGATATAAACAGCTTACAACAATCCATAGAAACCAAACTTACAATGGGAAAAGATCTTGGAAACTTGGAAAAAGACAGATCTGATATAGACCCAATCTGCACCCAGAATGAAGATCGCAAGGTTCACAATACCATGGAAACAGATTCCTTAATCTCCTTTGAAAAAGTTGAAATGCCTGCCCCTATTGAAATTGTGCGACAGCCTTCTCCTCCACCTGTGCTTGCTGAAGTACAGGACCTGATACCTGCAATGTCACCTCAAGTTCCCGAGGTAGAATGCACACGTGATACTTCATTGTCAGATAAATTTGTTCACCCAGAAGCTTCTTTGCAATTGCACATTGTAAGTTACTGACCCTTGTTTGTTGTTTCATTTTATATGCCTATATTGTTCAGTTCTAACGGGAATAGGTGACAAATTATGAAAAGAGCCGTCCGTAACAATAGCAAGGCCTGTCTGTTATTTGTTAAATTGTGTGTATATGAAAGATACTTCATTCTTTGCTGAATATTTGGAAAATTTAGGGGCATTTTGTCTTTATGGAGGTTTAGATTGTGTTTCATCCTAGCAATTTCTCTTTTTGCAGTCAACTACGATGATGGAGAACTTCATGAGGCTAGCCAAGTCAAATACTGCCAAGAATTTAGAAACGTGTGGTGTTCTTGCCGGTTCACTTGTATGTTTTACTAGTTCTATAACCTGCAAATATTTACAATTTTTATCATCACTGGCTGTTCATTTGCAACGCTAGATCAAAGTTTAACAAGTTATCCTCTTTTTGCAGAAAAACAGAACATTTTATGTCACTGCACTCATCGTTCCAAAGCAGGAATCAACATCAGATACTGTATGTCTATGTGCACTTTGTTTATTAGATACTGTTTCATGTGCATCTTATTCATCTAATGATTACATAATATTAAAATATCAATCATCTGATCATCAGTGTCAGACAACAAATGAGGAAGAGATATTTGAAGTGCAGGATAAGCGCTCTCTGTTCCCACTTGGGTGGATTCATGTAAGAATTCTGGTTTCTTACTATAGTTGATTGTCTTATTATTATACTTGGGATTGTTTTATTAGCATGTTTTTTAGGTCTGTTTTTGCAGTACTTTTCTGAACTCTTTGATAAATTAGAATTCATTTTCAAGTTCAAGTCTACAGATTTATTTCTTTTCAAGCATGACACATTCTTAAAATAGACTGTAAACCATGATAATAAATGTTGTAAAAACAACATTTCTATTTATCATTCTTACCGGCTTCCAGATAAAATACAGTTGAGGGTGACATATATCATATGGACATGCCAAAAGTTTGTGATGATTCTCTCATCTAAAAGGCTCTTCAGTTTTATATCAATATGTAGGATATTAGTAGCTTCCTCTAGGTATATAACGTTAGCCTGTCATGTGAGTTTTTTTTTGTAAGTTTGTGTACTAGTATACATTTCAAACACGTCAATTGCTAGTATTAAATTATATAAAGGAGAGTAGTTTATGAGGGCCAGGCAGTTTACATTTTTTTTAATAAAACATTATTATTAATTTTTAATCATATTTAAGAAATAAAAAAGAAATACGGACAATAAATAGACAAGGAAGATAAGGTATCCTCCCATCTTAAAGCCAGAGATTACAAAAAAAATAAAAAATAAAAAATAAATAAAAATAAAGTTCAACCATTTGTCATAGAGATTTATGTTGTTTTAAACAAATTTTATTTAACTTTGCAAGAAATTCTCTCCACCCCTGAAAACCCTTCTCTAATCAAACCTCCCAAAAAAAGGCCTTGATTACAGTAACTCCATATAGACTTAAATTTATCTTCGGTAGGATGACCAGTCAATGAAGAGTAACAAAAATCTCTACCTGATGATAAAAAACCCACATGACATTAAACAGTTCAGGATTTCCTCCAAAACCTGCTAGGAAATAGAACAGAAAATCGACAGATGATTTGGAAGTTTGAGATAGAAAACCAAGATTACTTTTGATCTTTCTCATCTCCCCTTCGTAAGGTGATGATGCTTAATTCAGCTCAAAAGAGAGGCAGAAAGCCGACAAATGTTTGAGTGCCAACAAATGTTTGAGTATATGCATTGCGACTGAACTTCTCTTCCTAAGTGAATAATTTTTTCAGCTGAAAGAGTTTTGAGTTTCAAATTTAAATCGTGTTTAGTGAGGAATGTCCAGTTGACTGTTCATACATGACATGGATGATTGTTTGTTTCTAACATGTTTATTGATTTTCAGTGCTAGTGTAATTAATGCAGTTTTCAATTTTATATTAGCTCTCTATGTGCGTGAATTATGAATGCTAAGTCTATTATATATCTTTTCATTATTCCTTTTGTGTTATTTCCAGACACATCCTACACAGTCATGCTTCATGTCGTCGGTTGATGTTCACACACATTACTCATATCAGGTAACTCATTTTCTTTCATAAGAAAAGTTAACGTGTTGGATGCAGAGGAGTACTTGATAAACGAACTCAACTTCCCTGTTGCATAAATTATCTCTATAACAGTTTGTAGAATTCATTTTTCTTTGTCCTTTTACCCCCAATTTTCAGTTGATTTGTGGTCTATCTGATATCAATCTCCTTATTGCTAGGATGGTTTCAGGAAAATGCCTGCCTTTGCAATTTGGTAGCCAGATCCTTTTTCTTCTGAAAATTCTCTAACCTTAATTAATCCTTAACTGCTTGAAGTAGTTTTAATGAGAGATGAAAGACGTACAAAGTCACGTTATTGCTCTTCCCTTTTTACTTCTACTTTTCATTTTTGACTCCTTCGTGATTTGTGGGACGTTGGTTTTGCTTGCTTAGATGATCAATAGTAAACTGCAACGTTTTGGAGCTTACTTCTGCTGGCTTCGAAAAGCATATACATGTTTAAGGAATGACTATGAAATGCACTCCCTTGATTATGTTGGAGTATAAGTGTACTTCCAATGATTAGGAAATGAATTTAATACCCATTCACTTTTAAAAACAAAGTTTAGTCCCTATTCCCTCCCGCCCCTGCTGTCTCAGGAAAATTTCTCCAGTAAGTTCCCATGTCCATGGTCTTGCTTGTCCATAGGGTCTTGTCTCGGGGAACTTTCCTTCTGGTGGTGGTGGTGGTGGGGGGTGGGAAGGGAAAAGGGTCGGGTGGATAATCCAAGTTGAATCAAGAGTTATTTTAGGGGAGAGAGGAAGGGCGGGTCATTGTGAAAAAGGAGAGAGGGAGAGAAAGACTTGGCATGGACGAAAAAAAAAAGTTGCATATGCAAAGTCACTACAAACTCGGGGAGCGAGGACACGTGTTGATTCTTGCTAGATCACAAGAAATTATAAATTTCTTACAATCTTTTATTTCCTACGCTGTTGCTATTGAAAGAAGCTCATGAAGATCCTCAATCTCCAGGTAATGTTGCCTGAAGCTGTTGCAATTGTGATGGCTCCCAAGGATAGTGCAAGGTATGATCGTAAATCAAAATCTTTACCTAGATAGGATTTCACTAATCATTATACGTTGGAACTGTCTTAACCTTTTCTTTCTAAGAGTCGCTACCCTGACATGAACAGAAACCATGGCATTTTCCGGTTGACAACCCCTGGTGGCATGTCAATTATTCGGCAATGCCAACAACGTGGCTTTCACTCACATAATCAGCCTCCTGATGGCGGACCCATTTACAAAACCTGTACAGATGTATACATGGACCCCAATTTGAAATTTGATGTCATTGATCTTCGATGATCACAACATTTCAAACCGGTATTTTTGTTGCATTGAAGCAACATAATTGTTCAATTCGTACAGATCAAGTTCAACTAATAGAGGCAAGCTCCTTTATCTTTGTTCATACACATCTTCACCTCCGGAGGTAATATTGGTCAATCTTCTTTTAGCTTAAGCTTTTGTGTACCAAGTGATTGCGCAATAGTTAGGAAAGAGATTTCATCCAAAACAATACAGACATGTTTGCGTTGTCTTACTGAGGAATTCTACACCTTACAAATGGCCTTAGGATCAGAATTTGAGGAAACGGGTCATGTTAATCGTTAATCTTATGATGGATACATATTTTGATTCCTTTGGGTATGCTGTTCATTTCATTCGTGCCTAAGATGGCCTTTTCTCTTCCATGTTCTAAGTGTCCAATTCTCATACAGTCTCTGAATGATGAATGCCTTGGTAAAGAGTTCAACCAATCCCACTATTTTGGTCATCAGAAGGCTACCCTCCATTGAAACAGGCATGACATGTCAGAAATGGTACTCCTAGTTAAAAAATCGTGGTGATTTAATTGTAGAAACTCCAAAGTTATGTGTGCTTTCATTTGGAGCAATTTTATGTTAGGCTGCTTATTGAAATTTTTTCTAAGAAATATGCGAGTGAGGACAAAACATGTTAAAATGACGAGGAATAATCTTTTCTCTTAGAAATAATTTAAAACAAATAGGTAACATGTTCATATTGATTGCATAGAGTTATCACAATTATCACAATTGACCAAGTAAATTATTGGGACAACTTTCTTAGCTTAATCCAATACAACCCCTTACCTCAAAAGTCAACTTCAAATATATTATTAGCTTTAATCATATAAGGGGTTTGACTTACTTCTACCTCAAATAAACTATGTAGCATTCACATTTAAGACTCCACAAAACAAAACAACAATCACTTTCAATATAAACCTAAGACGTTACATTAATACATTATTTTAGAGTTTGTGTTAGTTGAACTATGTTTACCTAACACATTCCATTCGTGCCTAGGAGCTAAAATGTAAAATGTCGTCTTATGATCCATCTCTTCCTCAAAACCCAATTCTTAGATTGCCCTAATGCATTTTCCTTTCCCTTTCCATTAATCTGTGTTTTGGGGTTCCATTTGTGCATCTGGTTTGTGAGTTTGAAGCTTCAAAGGTGTGCAAAACAACAAAAGTTCCCTGATATTCTTGACTGATTCGAGCAATTCTTGTCTCACTTACCACTTCCCTCTCTTCACTGACAAATTTCCAGATTCCATATGCTTCATTTCCTCTGTAGAATTAGCACATTGAGGCGCTGAATCTCCGCTTTTTTTTGGACTCCATTTCCTTCTTCCTTCAACCCTCTCCAACACACATCCTATTATTTTATTTACCTCTTTCTTTAACTTTCTTATCTACTCCTTCCTTCCTTCCTCACCCACATTCCCATTTCTCCTTTCTCTCAACCGTGGTGGTCGAGAGCTAACACTATGTGCTCCGAAACAACCTCGCCAAGGATATCGTTTTCCCACTATCTCCTCGGCGAGGGCGGCCTGCCGATCGAGCACAGGCTGCCGGACATAACACTGTTGGATGCAAATCTAGACTTCAAGTTCAGCATCAGCATAGAACATGAATCTTCCACTGCAGATGAGCTGTTCAGCAATGGAATCATCCTTCCCATCAAAGCTGAATCCCATAAACAATCCCATCCTTTTGAGGTTCCTTTCACAGCCTCACTCCCTCCTCTCCCTCCCAAACAGAATTCAAACCACACACTCAAGAAAATCAGAGTGGTAAATGATTCATCTTCTTCACATCAGTTAGAACAGAGAGATGCAGAGTCCAAATCCTTTTGGGGATCCAAAAGAAGTAGCAGTATCAACTTTGAAGGTAAAAGAACATCTCTTTGCCCTCTCCCGCTTCTTCTATCACGAAGCATTTCAACTGGGTCAGACTCAAATCCAAAATCCAAAAAGCATAAAGATTCACAGAAGCAAATTTCTCAGAAGCAGTACTCAACATCGATGAGAAAGTCGTCATCGCCGCCGCCGCCGCCGCCGCCGCCGTCGTTAAATCAATATCCAACAAATGTAAGGCCTCAGATGTGCAAGAATCCCGGAGGGGTTTATGGCAATTACCATTACATTGGGTCTGTGTTGAATGTGCCGCCAAAGTTCTTCGGTTTTGGTTCACTTCTGCTATGTGGGATAGACAGAAAGAGTAAGAAGTGATTTGTTCTTCATTTTCTATTTCATTTTTTTTTACTTCTTCTTCTTCTGAGTTCAATCTATGGGTGGCTTTTCCATGGTTTGTTGTCACTTTTTGTGCATTATTCCATGTTGAATTATGTGGGAATATAAATTAACATAAAAGAAATGGGAAAAAAAAGGCTCATTTTCTGCTTCAACTTTCTTCCTACAAAAATATTACTTAAATCAAATATGAGATCGTAAATATTGAATTTTTTTTTAGGGAATAAGAGAATTAAAATTTTATATGATGTCCAAATAAAGAGAGGATATATAAACGAACGGATACCACGATATTAATATGACAGTTAAAAAAAGATCTGATAATTATATTGGTGCATATTCTTTTTTTTTAATGACTTCCGCCAAACCTTTGTGGAATGAATTTCTAGAAATTTTTCTTAAAAAAAAATAGGGAAATAAAGATAAAATAATTAATTTTCAGATATTAAATTTAAAGGGTTTGTGTACGAAATTCAAAGTTGGCAGTGTTAATATATTTAAAAGTGTTAGGAATAAATTTCAACATCGAATATCACGTAAACTGAACGAACACGTGAAATTATTTGTTGTACATTTAAAAATTCATAATTCAATTATTTAATTAATTTACTTATATATACGCACAAATCGACAAATCAGAATGGCGCAGCGGAAGCGTGGTGTGCCCATAACCCACCCGTCCCAGGATCGAACTTGGCTCTGATAACTTCCTTTTTTGTTTTCGGACTTTTTGAATCTCGCTGTACCCGATGACCCACAGGTCCAGTAGCCCACATTCCCAATCTGTCGTCTGCGTTGGACTTGAACGTGATCGGAACTCAGTTCCAAAACCCGAATCGAGATCATTGTTCCTTCGAGATTTCGTAATTTTGATTCAGAAAAGCCTGCAGCAATTTATTTTCCTTCTTCCTCCGTTTATGGAATCCAGCTCTACAGTATATGTAATCGATTTTCCTCCGTTTTCTCATCTTTCCCCTACTACAAGCCATTCAGCCATGAAATTTTAGCCATTAGAGTGAGCAATTTCATCTATATCAATGGCGGGTTCCTCTCTTATGGACAATCTCTTCCAGCGAACTCTCGATGACCTTATCAAAGGCCTCCGCCTCCAACTCCTCGGAGAGTCTGCTTTTATTACCAAGGCCATGGACGAGATTCGGCGCGAGATCAAATCTACGGACCCTCAAACTAAGGCCACCGCTTTGCAAAAGCTCTCCTATCTAAACTGCCTTCATGGCATCGATATGAATTGGGCTGCTTTCCATGTCGTCGAGGTTATGTCATCCTCTCGCTTCGCCCAAAAGAAGGCCGGCTACCTCGCTGCATCCCAATCGTTTCACGAAGCCACACCAGTTCTCCTCCTCATCACCAACCAGCTCCGGAAGGATTTAACTAGCACCAATGAATTCGAGGTTAGCCTTGCTCTCGATTGTTTGTCTAGAATTGCAACTATTGATCTTGCCAGAGACTTAACCCCTGAGATTTTTACATTGCTGTCGAGTAGTAAGGTTTTTGTTAGAAAGAAGGCAATTGGTGCGGTTTTGAGGGTTTTTGGGAAATACGCTGATGCTGTTAGGGTGTGTTTCAAGCGTTTGGTTGAGAATTTAGACAGTTCGGATCCTCGGATTTTGTCTGCAGTTGTTGGGGTCTTTTGTGAGCTTTCTTCACAGGACCCTACTTCTTATCTTCCATTGGCACCCGAGTTTTATAGGATTTTGGTCGATAGCAAGAACAATTGGGTTCTGATTAAGATCTTGAAGATATTTTCAAATTTAGCTCCATTAGAGCCAAGATTGGCTAGGAAAATTGTTGAACCTATAACTGAGCATATGAGAAAAACATTGGCGAAGTCGTTGCTGTTTGAATGCATTAGAACAGTGGTGACCAGCTTGTCTGACTTCCAACCAGCAGTTAAACTTGCTGTTGAGAGGACTCGAGAGTTTTTGGTTGATGATGATCCTAATCTTAAGTACCTTGGATTGCATGCTCTTTCAATCCTTGTGCCAAAACACTCATGGGCCGTTCTTGAGAATAAGGAGGTTGTAATTAAATCTCTAAGTGATGTGGATCCAAATGTTAAACTCGAGTCCTTGCGGCTTGTGATGGCTATGGTTTCTGAGAATAATTTAGCTGAAATATGCAGAGTTTTGGTGAATCTTGCTCTTAAATCTGATCCTTGTTTTTGTAATGAAATTCTTGGGTCCATATTAGCTGCGTGTGGGGAAAATGTATATGAAATCATCATCGACTTCGATTGGTATGTGTCACTTCTTGGAGAAATGTCAAGGATCCCACAATGCAGAAAGGGGGAGGAAATTCAAAATCAGCTTGTAGATATTGGTATGAGAGTCAAGGATGCAAGACCTACTCTTGTCATGGTTGGCCGTGATCTGCTGATCGATCCAGCGTTACTCGGTAATCCTTTCATGCATAGAATACTATCAGCTGCTGCTTGGGTGTCAGGAGAGTATGTGCAATTTTCAGGCAAGCCATTCGAACTCCTCGAGGCACTGTTACAGCCTCGCACCAATCTCTTGCCGCCATCAGTTAGAGCAGTTTACGTTCAGTCAGCGTTTAAGGTGTCGGGTTTTTGTTTAAATTCTTACATTCAAGAGCCAATCATTGACTCCTCTTCATATGTTGATAATCTGGTTGAGAGATGTTCAGAATCTATCTCTGTAAGAGAATGTCAGGATGCTTCTGTTTTAGGTCTGTGTGATGCTTCTGATCTTCATGGACGAGATGAAGCGTTCAACCCGAGGCGGTCTAATCAATCGCCCAAAGTTACTTTCTCTGCAAATAATAAGCAGACACTGTCTCGTGTCCCGACATGTACATCTGCATCGTTAGAGGATAATACTTCATCTCTTGGATCAATCATTGAATTGTTGAATTTTATTCAATTTTCTTTGAGCCCTTTAACTTGGAGCCATGATGTTGAATTACTTGAGAGATCAAGAAACTTGCTCAATTTTATTGAGTTAATTAGGAAGCAAATGCCTGATGGTCGAAATCAAAAGGCTGCTGGGAGTTCAGAAATGGAACTTGCTGAAATCTCCGAAATAATTGAACTGATTGTTGACTCCTTCTCCAATGACTTCGGCCCGATCTCGATAAATGCTCAAGAAAGGGTTCCGATTCCCAAAGGATTGATACTCAAGGAGAATCTTGATGACTTGGAAATGGTTTGCAGAGATATTCAGTTACAAGAAGGGTCCTTTTCTTTTGAATTTTCTCTCTGTGAGGAAAGGGTCGATTCATCTATAGTATCTCAACAGAGCCAGCAAGAGTCTGAATCCTCGAACGCAACCACATCTCTTCTCTCCGAGCACCGTAAGCGGCATGGACTGTATTATCTTCCGTCAGATAAGACTGATGATGCATCTAATGATTATCCACCGGCCAATGAACTCAAGTTAGAAGATCATCTGGATGATGACGCTGCCCACCTTGTCGAGCTTGCAGAACGGTCACTTGCATTAAAGAAAAAGTCCAATTCAGCCAAGCCTAGGCCTGTGGTGGTGAGGTTGGAGGAAGGAGATGAATTGCCAGTTATGAGGAAGAAGCCCCAGTTGAAGGACAAAGAGCTTTCCGATGCGGTACGTTATGTTCTTGAAGGTAGTGATGCGAGGCCTACTTCCTCACAAACAAAACAACCTTCCAAAGCATCTAGCAGGAGAAAAGGAAAGGAGAAACAGGATGCTGATAACGTTTCTGAATCAAAAGAAAACTTGGGTGATGTTGAAGAGCAATCCAATAAGATAGATACAACAAGTTCAAGAAGAACACATCGACATCATGGAAAAGATGGCAAGCAATCAGGTGTAGAAAAGAGTAGTGAGAAAAAGGATCAGGCTCATAAGAAAGGCAAGCGAACAAGTAGTCAGCGGCACGGTAGGCATAAAGCTACACAAATTGGGGATGCTCCATTACCTGTAACTTCACAGACAGTTATACCCGATTTCCTTTTATAGCTCGAAAAACCCGAGTCAAGTTTGCTGCAGAATATCCCAGCATCAATGATTGGTTTGATTTCCAAATTCTCATGTGCCATGGTTAGTTCTGCTGTGAAAATTTATTGATTTTTTGGTGCATGTTTGGTTGGATTCATATGTTCCAGAATGGATGTCCATTTCAGAAACAGAGTTTCAAAGTTGGGATTATCTTGTTTCTGGTATTAATGTGAAGCATTTTTTGATAATTTGAGTATATATTTGTAGTGTTGGTTTCAAAGAAGCATGTGATGATAGACTTGGCATGATTTTGGTGAACGGATATGGTGTCATGGAATGTTTGTTCGGTGTCTGATTGACATTAAATTTGGCGAGCATTCATATTTCATATGGATGGACTTGATTCTAGAACCGCCTGCTCAATATCCCTTCAAATCCCCAACTTTCGAGGTTAAGGCTCGGAGCCCTATCTAACCCTTCAACACGCCTATATTTGACACTCTTGTCTACCCATTATCTTTATCTTGCTTATGCCTCGTCTTCTCTTTAATGCATACTTTGAGTGGTGTATTGGATGATGTACTGTCCTTTTCGGTCGCATTATGGCACTCGACTAGTTCCTCACTTTGAAAGTGAAGAAGGGTCAAAGTCAACCATTTGGAAATGGCAAACCAAATGGGAAGAAAGAGGTAATACCAAGATTTATTTCACACCATACTCACCAATACTTTTGTCTTAAACCCTACATGTTGCTTATTGATGGATCTAATCTATATATACATGTATATATATATATTTCATGAGGAATTATTATTATTATTTTTTTTTTGGTAAGGCATATAAAATAATATTTGATAAATAAGATTTAAATATTATTTTAGTTTTAATTTATTTAAGCATCCCGAGACTAAATTAGATACAAACTTTAACGACCCGACTTTTAGACCTAAACTTATCAGGGTTGTTGATGAAAACGCCTTCAATTATTTTAAATAAATAAAAAATTATTTTAAAACATAAATAAATGAACGCAAATATGAAAACAAATCATCAACAACTCCTTATTAAAAAAAAAAAAAAAAAACAAAAAGTGTCCTTCA